TGCGTCTGTCAAGGCGTTCAGATAATGACGATATTGTACAGTATTATTCATGAGATTCCTGTCAACAGTAAGGTCGGATAATAGATCGATTTTATTCAGCAGTGTTGGCCCTAAGGCCTATAGTACAATTACAGTTTGATTACTTTCACGTGGTGCTAGTAACATATTAAGTTTCTATTGGCATTGAATGCATATTTCAGATAAAAGCTAATGGTATTAATTTCACAACATCTATATTGTTTGATGTTAAAAGATTTGCCAATGTGTGTTCATACATTACAATTTTTGACAGACTTGGCAAATAATTAGTAAATGATATTGATAGCATCTTCACGACTTGGCCATACAGTCATGACAATTTAATGAGTGAAAAGTGAGCGATAGGTCTTGTGGGAATTCAAAGATTCATTAAGACTGTAGCCGTCTAAGCGTAACTCCTGTGTGTAATATTTATACACTTTCTATCCACGGACAACATGATTCTAATATTAATATTATTTTCATGGATTCATCATATTTTATCTATAGCTGTGCTATAGTTTCTCTTTAAAATGTCTTTTCTGTTGTCGGAATTGAAGTAAGCCCCACACAGAGCTGGGATCTTTGAAATATAAATTATGCAAACGGCTGGAACCTTGTGTTCCAATACAAACCGTTCGTAGCGTTACGACATTCGCATGCCTATGATAAACTATAGAGTTGTCCTCAACCATTGACTGGATTACATTCTTTTCGTCAGCAGAGAAATTTCGACTTCTCTTTTTCCTTGGGGTTCAGGCGACATTTTGCGTTTTCATTTTTGGTAAACCGGAAGTAAACAGAAAACGGAATTGTGGGATATATGGAGGCTAACCAGTGACGTTAACCACACTGTTAAACTTTGACGGCGACGTTAGCTAACGGCATGACTAACCATGTTTTGAACAACGCATATTTAACGTTCGGTTACCAAACGGCCGGTTAAGGATTTAACCGGCCGTTAGGAGTTAACCTGCGGTTAAGATAACCGAGTATTGAACAACCGGGCCCTGATGTATATATTTGCGTATAAACATCATAACTACTTCAAACAAGAACGACAACTCTGCTTTTGTAAGCTTCCAACAATATTAAATATTGCTGTAGCACTCGACAATTGACGTTCTAAAAGACTTTGAGCTGTTTTAAACAATGAAAATGATCATAATCATTTGTTGAAAAGATATTTAACGTAATTATTACAATCTGTTCACCTTATATTTCCAAATGCATATTTCTCAATTCGGTATAAGAATCAAAAATGGGATTTTTCTATGAACAAGCATTTAAAATAACAAATAATTTCCGCTGTGATAAGTCCCCAACTGAAGAATTCGGGGAGAGTCCTATCATGATTTAGTACATTTTGTCGTAATTTCGCACATAACATTCATCAAAGTGGGGACGAGTCTTCTTGGAGATTACGAAAACGGGCGAGGAGTGACGTATGAAAACATTCATCGACACGGGGACGAGTATTCTTATATATAGTTTATTTCTGTCATAGGACAATACAGTTGTAAAATGTGCTCAGCAGACACACACTTGTTGCTGATCCGTTAAAAGCTAAAACACCGTGCAGTTGTGTTGATTTACGTCTGCCGTGCAGCCGTTATTGGTGGGCTTGACCAAACTGTCAAAGATCTTCAATGCAACAGTTATTGGCGGGCTGGACCAAACTGTCAAAGATCCTCAGTGCAGACGTCATTGGTGGACTTTGCCAAACTGTCAAAAATCTTCAATGCAACAGTTATTGGTGGACTGAACCAAACTGTCAAAGATCTTCAATGCAACAGTTATTGGCGGGCTGGACCAAACTGTCAAAGATCCTCAGTGCAGACGTCACTGGTGGACCGTGCCAAACTGTCAAAGATCTTCAATGCAACAGTTATTGGTGGACTGAACCAAACTGTCAAAGATCCTTAGTACAGCCGTAATTGGTGGACTGGACCAAGCTGTCACAGATCCTTAGTGCAGCCGTTATTGGTCGGCTGGACCAAACTGTCAGAGATCCTTAGTGCAGCCGTTTTTGGTGGGCTGGACCAAACTGTCAAAGATCTTGAATGCAACAGTTATTGGTGGACTGAACCAAACTGTCAAAGATCTTCAATGCAACAGTTATTGGCGGACTGGACCAAAGTGTCAAAGATCTTCAATGCAACAGTTATTGGTGGACTGAACCAAGCTGTCAAAGATCCTTAGTGCAGCCGTTATTGATGGGCGGGACTAAACTGTCAAAGATCCTTAGTGCAGCCGTTATTGGTGGGCTGGACCAAACTGTCAAAGATCCTTAGTGAAGCCGTTATTGGTGGGCTGGACCAAACTGTCAAAGATCTTCAGTGCAACAGTTATTGGCGGGCTGGACCAAACTGTCAAAGATCCTCAGTGCAGAGGTCATTTGAGGACTGTGCCAAACTGTCAAAGGCTTTCAATGCAACAGTTATTGGTGGACTCAACCAAACTGTCAAAGATCTTCAATGCAACAGTTATACTTGGCGGGCTGGACCAAACTGTCAAAGATCTTCAATGCAACAGTCATTGGTGGACTGAACCAAACTGTCAAAGATCCTTAGTACAGCCGTAATTGGTGGACTGAACCAAACTGTCCAAGATCCTTAGTGCAGCCGTTACTGGTGGACTGAACCAAACTGTCAAAGATCCCTAGTGCGGCCGTTATTTGTGGGCAGGACCAAACTGTCAAAGATCCTTAGTGCAGCCGTTATTGGTGGGCAGGACCAAACTGTCAAGGATCCTTATTGCAGCCGTCATTGGTGGACTGTGCCAAAGTCTCAAAGATCTTCAATGCAACAGTTATTGGTGGACTGAACCAAACTGTCAAAGATCTTGAATGCAACAGTTATTGGTGGACTGAACCAAACTGTGAAAGATCCTTAGTGAGACCGTTATTGGTGGGCTGGACCAAACTGTCAAAGATCCTTAGTACAGCCGTAATTGGTGGACTGGACCAAACTTTCAAAGATCCTTAGTACAGCCGTTATTGGTGGACTGAACCAAACTGTCAGAGATCCTTAGTGCAGCTGTTATTGGTGGACTGAACCAAACTGTCAGAGATCCTTAGTACAGCCGTTATTGGTGGACTGAACCAAAGTGTCAAAGATCCTCAGTGCAGAGGTCATTCGAGGACTGTGCCAAACTGTCAAACTGTCAAAGGCCTTAAATGCAACAGTTATTGGCGGGCTGGACCAAACTATCAAAGATCTTCAATGAAACAGTCATTGGTGGACTGAACCAAACTGTCCAAAATCCTTAGTACAGCCGTAATTGGTGGACTGAACCAAACTGTCCAAGATCCTTAGTGCAGCCGTTACTGGTGGACTGAACCAAACTGTCAAAGATCCTTAGTGCGGCCGTTATTTGTAGGCAGGACCAAACTGTCAAAAATCCTTAGTGCAGCCGATATTGGTGGGCAGGACCAAACTGTCAAGGATCCTTATTGCAGCCGTCATTGGTGGACTGTGCCAAAGTCCCAAAGATCTTGAATGCAACAGTTATTGGTGGACTGAACCAAACTGTCAAAGATCCTTAGTGAGACCGTTATTGGTGGGCTGGACCAAACTGTCAAAGATCCTTAGTACAGCCGTAATTGGTGGACTGGACCAAACTGTCAAAGATCCTTAGTACAGCCGTTATTGGTGGACTGAACCAAACTGTCAGAGATCCTTAGTGCCGTCGTTATTGATGGGCTCTGTCAAGCTGTCAAAGATTCTTTGTGCAGCTGTTATTGTTGGGCTGTGTCAAACTGTTAAAGATCCTTAGTGCCGCCGTTATTGGTGGGCAGGACCAAACTGTCAAAGATCCTTAGTGCTGCCGTTATTTGTAAGCCGTGGCACATATACTGCAGATTGTATATTATGAGTAACAATAGTTTCTCCCCTAGTGAACCAACACCTTTATCTCGACCAGTTTAGGTGTAAAATAAGTTCCGAGAAAATATCTAAGAGGAAACAGTTTCAATCTAGACATACTATGCAATACCACTGTACCATACTGTCGAAGGTATCCACTATTTTGGAAAACCACAATGTTTGACTTTTTAATATTTATGTTCAGACCCCTTTCTTCAATGAAAAGCAATTATTTGCTCATGAATTCAGTGATCACCATCATGAGCATCATTCTAAGAAATTGGGATACGCAGACATGCATCAACCAGGCCAGCGAACCTGACCATCCCATCTCGTTCGTCGCCTCTCACGACAAGCATGGGTTGCTGAAGGTTAATTCTAACCCAAACTTTCACAGGTTACCTCGATAAGCCTGTTACCTGTCAGTACTAGATTACATGGAGAAAACCATGATACTGTTGCAGCATTCCGACTTGCAGCCTCAACTCACGTTTTTAATACGTGGCTTCATTGCCAATGATAATGATAATAGTATCCGTTTTCCTGGCATTATGGATTTTTGTCTTTTCTTTAAAACCTCGGTACTGTCAGACACATGCAAGGCGGTTTTGGATTTGCAAATGGGATACAATGATATTCATGAACCGAGTGGGCGAGCCTGACAACGGGACCCCAGTTCTTCCTTGATGGGCATTTTAGAAGTTGGGGTGATGAAGAATGATGATACTTTTTATGAATATGCAACTTCTTTATTGTGAAAGGCGACGTTTCGACATAGATTCTAATGTCGTTGTCAAGCAAGTGATCACTTGCAATCTATGTTGAAACGTCGCCTTTCACAATAAAGTAGTTGCATACCCATAAAAAGTATCATCATTCTGGATCCAATTAATCGCCTCTTTCAACAGTCATGTTTTACTATAGATCATTTTGGAGATACTTATATTAATACACACTTGCGTTTTTGAAATGACTAGATTTCCGAGCTTAATTCAAACCAGTAATTACAAGAATCATAAAACATCGAATGAGATCACCTGTATGTCTCAATTGGATGTTCGATGAAGCACTTCTTCTCCATGTAGCAAACATATCATACATATCTATATCACTGACCTGTTAGTTTCCTGACTGATCTGTTCGACACCAGCACACGCCACGGACGTCTGGACACAGTGCATGAACATCAAAGATCTTGCCGAGATTGTGATGTGTCTAGACCTGTTCACACTTGGCTTCTCTTGTTATAAACACGTACATCAGCTGATTAGACAGAGAGTTTTTCTTGTTCCGGTAGGGTTTCCTTCATTTGCTGCAGATACATAAATCACATAAATCCTGTAAATTAATAACAAAGTCATAATGATGTTCCTAACATTCTTTCATTTTCATTGCACGAAGTTCCCTGAAATGGCGTCAGCATATCGCTCCACTGCTTCAAGGCACTTTGCTGCATTGAGCAAAGCCATTAATTAAACTCCAGTATTTCTTGAGTACATCTATTTCTTGAGTATACATTACACGGAGGCAATTAACTGAGTGGTTTCAGTAGCGAAGATATCATAACAAAAGGTTCAATTTGTCCTTATAAAATATGATGTTTACAGTACGGAAAGACAGGAGGGTACGGCTCTTGTTATTCTATAAAATCATGTTTAAACTGATAATTTATTGCCGTTGAAGGCATTGCTATTTACTATAGTATCTTCAGAAATAGCACTGGAATCTAACGGCTGAGTAAACCCCCTCAATTTTGTAATTAGCACCAAGAGACTTGCAGCCATGTTGTTTGCATAAACATTCACACATCAGTTTCTTTGAGTGGCCTTTTAGAAGTTGGGAAGTGTAATATTGACAAACATTATAGATACCAACTTCTAAACAACTTCTTTGATTTGTACATCTCTGGCTTCCACCACTTTCCGTTTGATAATTCACCCCCTTGATCAGTATGTTAATTCTGTTGTGTTCTCTGTTACACTCAGTATTATGCATCCCCCAGGTTCATGTTACATTCGACCGCCTCCATGGTGTAGTGGTTAGAGCGTCCGCCCGGAGAGCAGAAGCTCGCGGGTTCGATCCCCGACCGCGTCATACCAAAAGACGTTAAAAAATGGTACTTGTTGGTCCCTGCCTGGCGCTCGGCATTCATGGGGACAAAAGGGGACTGGTCGGCTCGGAGTCAGTATAATGTGTCTGAGTAGGGTATTCATGCTTCACTGCGGCATGGTATCTGAGTGGGCTAGCACTATAAAACCAGCTCTGGGCTAGTACAAGCAGCCGCACATACCCACGCATGCACGTCGTCATCTGAGCGAAATATTCTCAAGCACGACGTTAAACCCAATTTCACCTCACCTCATGTTACATGGCTGCTTTACGACGGTACAGGGATCTGCATCGAAACACATAGTTACACATCAGGGCCTAGATTTTCGAAGCTCTCTTAGCGCTAAGATAGTCGTAATTGCCATACATTAACATTAACTTAGCTTCGAAAATCTAGGCCGAAGAAACCAGTGATGCAGGGAACGTGATGTAATTGTGTTTGAGCAAGCACACACCAATGTACAGTGACAGCTGAAACTAGTTCCTGCGAGATTATCCCTTTTGCCTCAGTTCATTTTGAAATCAGTGAATTTATTATCATATGGTAATTATTCCATTGATATCAGTTAATTTCATTATCGGATAGTAATTATTGCATAGATATCAGTTAATGTCATTATCGGATAGTAATTATTGCATAGATATTAGTTAATATCATTATTGGATGGTAATTATTCCATTGATATCAATTATAACATTGATATCAGATTAATTTAATCATTATCGGATAGTAATTGCATTGACATTGATATCATTGGATGGTAATTATTCCATTTTATCAATTAATATGGTAATTATTGCATTGATATCAGTTAATGTTTTTATCCGTTTGTTATTATTGCTTCGATATTAGTTACGTTCTTTATCATATAGTAATCATTGCATTGCATTGATATCAGTTAATTTCATCATTGAACTGTAATTATTGCATCGATATCAGTTAATTTCATTATCGGATTGTAATTAATTTCATCGATATCAGTTAATTTTATATCGGATAGTAATTATTGCATCGATCTCAGTTAATTTTCTTTATCATATAGTGAATATTGCATCTGTATCAGTTAATTTCATTATCGGATTGTAATTAATTTCATCGATATCAGTTAATTTCTTTATCATAAAGTGATCATTGCATTGATATCGCTGCCACTATATGACAGGCCCCTGCTTTTGCAACCGCTGAACAAAGATATGAGGTGACGTCAAAAAGACCTCTCTCGAACCTAGACCAACCAATGAAATGACTACCTAGATATTTATGTTAGCAAATGTCAAAGCGGCTTTCTCGAGCTTCACTGCACTAGTTTGACACTGGCGACTTTAGTTTCACTGTTGCAGACACGAGATGTGGGCTTCGTGAAGTGTATACCTGTGGGGAATAGAACACGGCGGCGTGAGGAACAAACGCTTTAATCATTAGTTGCTGTTACGTGGCTATAAAAAGAGTGTAACACCTGCTGACATTTAGTAGGGTGGCTGTGGTGTGTTCTATATTTAGGACCCGTGAAGATCCAGGTAAGAATTGATCTTCAGTAGCCCGCTTGAAGAGGCGACTAACGGGATCAGGTGGTCAGGCTGTCTGATTTATTTGACGCATGTCATCGTATCCCAGTTGCTTTGATCGATAAATATGCTGTTGGTCCAGACTCGATTATTTACAGACCGCCGCCATATAGCTGGAATATTCCTGAGTGGGGCGTAAAATTAAACACACTCACTCTATATTTAGACACTTGCTGTATTTCGACAGAGTTCTGGGATGTACTGCAACCCTGATGCAGTGAACATTACAGAAGATTACCTTCACTACCATCTGTACAACCCGGGAAGGTCCGGGTTAGAATTAATCTTCAGTAACCCATGCTTGTCGTAAGAGGCGACTAATGGATCGGGTGGTCATGCTCGCTGACTGGGTTGACACATGTTATCGGTTCCCATTTGCGTAGATCGATGTTCATGCTGTTGATCCCTTGATTGTCTGGTCCAGACTCGATTATATACAGACCGCCGCCATATAGCTGGAATATTGCTGAGTGCGGCGTAAAGCTAAACTCACTCACCATATGTACAGACAGGAATCAGTCCGTAACAAAATAACCAACAACAAAGAAATGTGATAAAATTAACAATTGTATTCTAATTACCTATGTTTGTAAATCAACGCAAATCACTAAAAGGTATCACTATGCCAGTACACAATTCCAGCTATATTCCAGCTAATCGAGTCTGGACCAGACAATCCAGTGATCAACAGCATGAGCATCGATCTACGCAATTGCAAACCGATGACATGTGTCAACCAAGTCAGCGAGCCTGAACACCCGATCCCGTTAGTCGCCTCTTCCGACAAGCATGGGTTACTGAAGATCAATATTCTAACCCGGATCTTCACGGGACCACAATTGAGAGGCAGTACAAATCCCAGAGTAACGTAATACAAGTTGGAGCAGTGATTATTTCAATTAAGACAACGATGGTAATATTCACCTCTCAGCAACAGTACTCCGACTTGCAACTATGGGCTAGGAAGTATATGATCATCGCACACAATGCTGGTCTTCTTGTGTCTTGAGATGTAATGTGGGATGAGAGGCCTGGGTATTAAACTCCTCGTGTCTATCTCTCTGAGGCAGGTGATTCTGGAGTATGATCCTTGTAGCACTTTCCAGGTCATTCTGTCTACATATAGTAAGTCCAAACACACCTCACCAGTGCCCCTTACTGAATATACAGGTACTGTATAGTATAATATACTATTCACACTTTACTAAGGATCAAATCATGGATTCAGCAGAAAACTATGATGTGGGGTCAAATTTGGTTTAAATATCTAAGCTTATTGTAAGCATGGATCCTAGGTTTCAGTATGTCATTGTATCTTGTGGATCCCATACCTGCTATTAACAGGTGTTGTGTACTTGTCAATGACTCGTTCCATGATTTGCAAAATTGTTGATTGGTGCCATAAAAAACATTTTTGTAGATACTCATGCATCAAGTCCGTAAGGTTTGATTCAAGCGACTGTTTGCCTAAAGAGGGGTTACCATATTATTATTTATACAGTTTTAGATGGATAGAATTTCAAATTATAAATCTACGTTTAAGTAAAGTTGTGAATTTTTGTGATCCTTAGCAAAGTGTGAGTAATATATATATTTCAGGAGAGAGAAATAAATAGCAACTATATTCACAGTAAATCTTGTATCTTTTTTACACATTATTCACGGTGTTATTTAGTTATTTTGTTATGAAATCCGAATACAGAACATTTACTCAGTCAACAGAATTTATGAAATGCATGTTAGTGATCACGGGTATTTCTTTTTATCAAACGACCGATGATCATCCTGAAAACCGTCGGGGATGACCCTAGAATCACAATGAGTGTTTTCCTTGACTTGAGGATTATGAGGCAAACTACACACGATCAGTCTGTATTACTGCTTTCGGCTTTTAAACATTTTAAATACGTTTTGAAGCGATAACTTTCACTGTGAATTTTTTTGCTGTGGATCTAGACAGGAGTGTAAGAATAATTCAACTGGCACCAAAAACGTTGAAATAAAGGCTTCGTTATGGTATAACATTTCAACATTTATATAAAGCGTTTTACATTCCCAGCGAGGAAAAAATGAACGTATATCTTCAATCTTTGATATTAACCAATTCGATTTTGTTTCAATTGAGAAAGAGGGCCGGTGGGGTAGCCAAGTGGTTAAAGCGTTCGCTCGTCACGAAGAAGGCCGGGTTCAAATCCCCACATGAATACAATATGTGAAGCCCATTTCTGGTGTCCCTCGCTATAATATTGCTGGAACATTGCTAAAAGCGGCGTAAAACTATACTCACTCACTCACTTTAAGAAAGACATTGGTTTCATGTACACTTCCCCTTCAAATAGGCTGAAAATAGGAAATTAATTGACACATTCTCAATCACACGGAAATGTGTTGAAACAAACAAAGTAATACACATTTAGAAACATTGCACTGATACCAATATGCCTTTGATACTGTTACACATCGCTAATATTAATTCCTAATAAAGTGTAATATTG